AGGTTCCTGTGGGGGTGAACTGTGGAACGGTTAACTCTGAGATTTCTGGGGAATGAACTGTTGAACGGTTAACTCTGAGGTTTCTGGGGGATGAACTGTTGAACGGTTAATTCTGAGGTTCCTGGGGGGGGGTGAACTGTGGAATGGTTAACTCTGAGGTTCCTGTGGGGGTGAACTGTGGAACGGTTAACTCTGAGATTCTGGGGAATGAACTGTTGAACGGTTAACTCTGAGGTTTCTGAGGGATGAACTGTTGAACGGTTAACTCTGAGGTTTCTAAGTAAAGTAATTTCAACTGTATGTAGTGGATTTTAGATGTTTCAATTGAAAGCAGAGTTTCTTTCATGCGTTATTCATATCCACGAGGATCTGCAATGTTGTTTATTAGTTATAGGTTTTATGTGGAGTTAAACACGTGACTATCGTCATTCAGTATAAAGCTAGACAAACATACAGACAGTAGGGTAGGTGGAAAAAATAGACAGACAAGAAGTTAGATATATATTTTAACACACACACGAATCGAGAAATCAGATGAAAGATAAAGAAAACAGATAATTGTTAGACAGATAAAATAATACATTAGTTATGTCGAATATGATAAAACGTCAGATTTTTCTAAGCTGTACTTATCAATATCAGTGTTGCTATGAATTTTTTTAATTACTAAACTGTGAACAAATTGTGTCTTCACTATATTTCATCACGCTTCCTAACGTTTGGGTTTGTTTTGAATTTCGCGCAAAGCTACACATGGGCTATCTGCGCTAGCCGTCCCTAATTTAGCAGTGAAAGACAGAGGGAAGACAGCTATTCATCATCACCCACCGCCACCTCTTGGGCTACTTTTTTTACCAACGAATAGTGGAATTGGCCGTCACATTATAACGCCCCACGGCTGAAAAGGCGAGCATGTTTTGCAATCCGCGACCCGCAGCTTGCGAGTCGAGCGCCCTAACCACACTGTCCATTACTTTATGTACGTCATCAACTTGATGAATCATCTACAAATTGCATATCTCTCTGATGATGTCACAATAACAATTCTTTGAGGCCCGGCATGGCCAGGTAGTTAGGGCGCTCGACTCGCAATCTGAGGGTCGCGGATTGGAATAGTGGTATTGACCGTTACATTATAACTCACCTACGACTGAAAGACCGTGCATGTTCGGTGACGAGATTCCGAAATCGCAACCCTCAAATTGCTAGTCAAACGCTCTAGTTAGCAGGCTATGTTAGGACTTTAAATCTCTCTAAACCTACAGTGACGTTAAAATAAACCTGATTAAATTAGACATCTACCCAGAAAGACCTTATAAACGTCTTAACCTTGTGCGTGTGTTTGTAAACATATAACTATAAAATGAAAAAAATTATATAGCATCCTTACCCATATAACCCCGACAAATGTAATAAGTTCTTCAAGAACAACCTCTCGTAGTTTTCCGATTTAGCATCCAAACAACAGGTCAATCCTTTAGCACTGGTTAAATACTTGTTTTCTTCTTTTTTTGCGCAGACCTTCAAACATACACACAGTCACTAACTGTAAAACAAATATTTAACTGTGAGCAGTAGTCAACTACCTTTCTATGGCCCAATTGTTTAACGTAACAAGGGATTGAAATCCTGTTATTTTTGAACAAACTTTCGCTTATTCTCCAACTCAAATAGAACACGTCAGTCTCGGGTATATTTTTCACTGTAATAGTTGTACATTGACACAAACTCCGACTTACACCAGTAAACAGTCGTACACGCTGGCATTGTGAAAACGGGATATTCACCAACAGCCTCCACCTGGCATTACTAGTTGCCATGGTGACAAATCATAACAACCATAGGGTGTAATGTACTACATAAACCAAGCAAGCAGGCAATCGGTACCTTGTTTTCAGAGCCACGCAACATGCGAGATCTATCTGTTGATATTTTAGTGTTAGAGAATGGCGCTAAATGCTTATCAACATTAATATTTGTTGGAGCAGTTCACGTGTGAGATACAGATTTCAACAACAATGGACAATAAGTAAAGGAAAATGTGACACTTATACCATAACCATCAATAAATAGCACACACACACAAACAGTTACACTAAACCACAAACTGTGTATCGAATTGTATTAGAAGCCTCACACTTCTTCCAAAATTTTATTACAAACACCTAAAGTTTCATTATCTTAAAAGTGTGTGTGTGTTGTCAGAATGAAGTCCATTGCGCCATCTGTTGACAGCAAGTATACAGACTCGGACGATAAATATATATATATATATATATCATGATATTAGCCGTTCCAAAATCCTTCTACAGAACAAAAAATGACTTCATAAGTAAAATTATTTATTACTGTTTGTTTTATAACTAGCTGTGCGTTAAAATATCGTTTCTTTGGTACCCTAAAATCAGTCAATATATCTAATAAAAAGAGAAAGCTAATGATCTCACAGATGTATGAGTAGGTGGATAGGTTAGATAAAAATAAATATCACGTGGTGTTTCAATACTTTTAGTTTTAAAGTTATATTGAATCAGTCTGGTACAGTCACTTTGTGAGAGTCAAAACACATAAATATTCAGTATTATCATAAACTCAGTATGCAAAATTTACAGTTATTCCTGTCATTCATTGGTTTTAAAATGGCATTACAGTAGAAATAGGTGGAAGTCATAAAGGACATCATTCTAGCAATACAAAATTATTGTTATATATTATGTTAATATATATATATGGGAGGATCGTGGTGAGAAGACGTATCATGTTTATAATTTCACTGCATTTGAAAACACTGAATTTGAGGTATTCAGTTTACAATCGATTTGATCTTACAAAAAGAAATGTCGACTCTTGCATATTTAAGCCACGATCTTTATGCATTATTGGAAACTGAACGTTTTATGTCATCATATGATTAAAAATTCCTTTACGTCATTTTGTGTGCTTAAAGAAGTATTACAATATTACTTACCATGTCATATAGTTTATGAAAATCTGAAAATGTATAATCCCAAAACTGCTGTACAGAGTTTTATATTTCGAGTTGTTTTAGTTATGAAAAAAAATGCTTAAATATGTCGAAAAATTAACAGATTTATCTACAATTCTACTTGTTTGTTTATTTTACAAAGTTCAAAACCAGATCTAATATTGTGTCGTTTTTAAAACTATGCTGTATAAACGTTTTGAGTATTTTTTAAATGTCTTTGTGATTCCCTGGCCATGAATAATGAATGACAACTCGAGGAACAATAATGAAAAAAAAATCGTTTTTCTTTTCTTGAAAAACTAGGTAATGTTTAGCAATGAGGAACAATTCAGAAATTGTGAAAGGAATAAAACTGGTCGATAAATTTCCGGGAAGTAAAGAGTTGTTTATGTGGCAGTTATATACCACAATGTGTTTAAACTTTATGTTGAAATAAAGTAATGTCAAAACGTTGCTATTGTACGAAATATCACTTAGTAAGAGACGCTTTTTTATACTGTTATAGATAAAGTAGGAATTGTACTTAATATCTGAACTACAGTTGTTGTTTGTTTTGTTTCTTACCAACTTAGCAGCCCCCCAGTGGCACAGCGGTATGTCTGCGGACTTACCACGCTGGAAACCGTGTTTCGATACCCGTGGTAGGCAGAGCACAGATAGCCCACTGTGTAGCTTTGTGCTTATCTTCAAACAAAAGTAACTTGCTAAAAAGTAATAAAATAAATCACCGTAATCTATGTCTACGGAATTACAACGCTAGAAAACGGGTTTCGATACCCGTGGTGGGCAGAGCAGAGAGAGCCTATTGTGTATCTTTGTGCTTAACTTCAAACAAAGAAAATCAACTTAGCAATAAAATGAAGAAGCAGTACCCACCAAGCGGTGAAAACCGAAGCAATATTTCATCACGAAGAGATGTCGTCTCCGAAAGGTCGCTGTCTTCGTCTTCTTCCACCAGAGGAGGTGGGGGAGACATATCGTTCCCCCAGAGACGTCGAAAGGTTTGTCGGCCACCGTCCAGCCTGACTCTGGAGTGGTCAACAAACAGCTGGTCCCCAATCTAAAGAGAGAAAAAATATTTTGTGTGTGTGTGTGTGTGTGAATTGACATAATTAATAGTTTTCAACAGATTGATGAACATTTGCTTCTTAGTTTGTTGGATTCAGAATTTTCGCGCAAAGCTACATAAAGGGCTATCTGCGAATATCCATCCTTAATTTGAGCTGATATACTACAGGGTAGGCAACTAGTCAAAAATACCCACCGCCAACTCTTGGACTACTCTTATCCGACTGGGATTGGACCGTCAATCTTACAGTACAAGCATACTCACGGTCCTTAAGTGCGACGAACACTTTTGAAGCAACAGATCTCGAATCATGAACCCTCGAATTCAGAGTCACAGCACACTAACCACCATTCTAGGTCCAATTTATTAAGAAGAAAGTGGATTATTTATTGGTAGTTTTCCTTGTGTATTCTAGTTTGATCTAGGATCCACCATTAAAGTTTAAGGGTGTGAGCATGTTTGTCCGCAGGGGGCGAGGGGACATTTATCCCCCTGGAAAATGAGAGGCATTTCTTTATTCAATCAGTGTATATATATATACACATACATCTTTATATATGCTCTTGATTTAGACTTTGACCTTCCCCTGGAGAAATTTCTTTGTACGCTTATGGCTTGTTGAGCCCTTTTACCATTCTCCTTAAAGTCCTTTGCTCTATATACTCCTACATTCACATGACCTGTGGTACGGAAGGAAATAAAGAAAGCAGTGTTTGGTAGGAGAAAGTAAGTTGGGAACAATAAAAAAAAGACACTTTAACTTAGTTATAGGCCTTCTAGTTTCATGTTAATTTTATATGGGTTTGTCAAAACTTATAAATCAGTGAAATTGAACTGTCTCTGGCCTTTTGTGTTTATTGTTCACGAAGCTTATTATGTAGTACATAAACGTTTTGCTTGGTGTAAAGTCCACAAAGCCTGTTCAGAGTGACAACTGCTCTAAGTTGAGAGATCAGTTTAATTTTAAACCTGTGGGAAACTTTAAGCGTATAGGGCCTAAACGACCAAGTAAGAGACCCCAAGAGCTCAAGTACAGCCATTCTTAATTTTGACCTACTGATCAAGGCAGCGTTTCGCAAATTATGGTCCCCATCCAAAATGGGGTTGGGGTGCAAGTTCATAAAAAATATTGCGATAACGGATATTTTAGAGTATGTACAGTAATTTACTATCACTTCTTCTATGTATGGGGGGGAGGGGGTCACCACAGCCTAAAATATTTTGAAATGGGAACCAAGCCCCTTCCCCCTAAAAAACTTTGAGAATCCTAGAACCAGGGAAAAGACAGTTGACAGTGAAAAGACATCTGATGATGACATAAACTTGCCGAAACGTTGTAAATTTGTACAAAGTTTCTTTCACTACCTATCTCAATCCGTCTACGAGTTTTATTTTCTAAAAAAATGGGTTCCTCGTCGCCATTATATGTAGTGTGGCAATAGTGGTGCAACGACGTCATGGCATACCAAAACATTACTTTTACGATGGTTCGTTTTATCGGATATCGCCTAGTATAATCTAAATAATGTAACCACACACACACACACACACACACACACACACACACACATACTAATAATAATATGGTAATATAAAGGGTATCGTCATCTCAACATTTCAAATTACACGCACAAACCAAGCAAGTATTATTTTAATAATGTGTTTAACAAGTTAGCCAGAAGACGAGAGCTTTTTTTTAGATATACTGATAAAAATGTATGGATAATTTGCCTATAAAATAGAAGTTTCCTAGTTGAAAGATATTACGTGTTCTCGTGAATTGAACTTGAAAATATAAAAAAAGGACTTTGCAATGCTGAGTTGTTTGAGAACACAGACAGTATTTATTCACCCGTCTTTCGCTCAGTTCGTTATTTCCTTTATTTTAATATACGTTTTTGCCATTTTTAAAGTTTTTTCCATAGGTTAAGTGCTTCCTTCCTTAAGAAGTTCTTATACATTTAACATGCGTGAGTTGACATATGCAGTTCGATTTCCTTACAAAATGTGAGATGTTGCTGCTGACTGTTTCTCAGATCTTATAAACCTATCTGTAATATTACGATGAAAGGCATAACTTGAAGACTCAAGTTTTGTTACCTTCCCTTTTTCTTTACAAGGATTAACTCGAGTCTTATCTTTTTTCCCTCTATTTACAAAAGTTCAACTCCAGTAATATTACCTTCTCTCTCTTTAAGAAGGTTAAGGTGAAATGTCTTGAGATACTTAATTTTCTGACAAGAAAACCAGTCTTCCAACAGTTTGTATAAAAGAACAAGTGACGTCACACAAATTCTTTGTCTACTTTAGTGACTCATGTAACGAAGAACAACGTTTATTTTTGGAAATTGCGAAGGAATACGTAAGTACAATAAAGACTGATTGTGTGTGTGTAAAAAGAAAGTTTTGCGGCCTTTCATTTAACTTAGGTCTAGGTTATTTTACTTTTTCAGTTCATAAACCAGTCTCATTTCCAACCAAACTAGCGATTTTACATCAAGCTTCAGTAAAAGTTCAACTTTTGTTACTTAAAGGATTGACATCGGAATCTCTCACCGGTGTTAATATTCCTGACTTACTTCTTGCTGATCGATATACCATATGGATAACACTGGTGCCGAAAGTAGCCCTGAAAATCTTCTGGATGTGTCAGTAACTATTACATAGATATGCCAAATGTGGCTCTGAAAATTCCCTGGATATGTCAGTAACTTCGTGTCTATTACATAGAAATGCCGAATGTGGCCCTGAAAATCCACTAGATATGTCAGTAACTTCGTGTCTATTACATAGAGGTGCCGAATGCCGCTCTGAAAATTCCCTGGATGTGTCAGTAACTATTACATAGAAATGCCGAATGTGGCCCTGAAAATCCACTGGATATGTCAGTAACTTCGTGTCTATTACATAGAGGTGCCAAATATGGCCCTGAAAATTCCCTGGATATGCCAGTAACTGTCTATTACATAGAGGTGCCGAATGCCGCTCTGAAAATTCCCTGGATGTGTCAGTAACCAAATGCCTAATACATAGAGATGCCGAATGTGGCTTTAAAAAATCCCTGGGTATCTCGGTAACTAAGTGCATATTACATAAAGGTGCCGAACGTGACCCTGAAAATCCCTAGAATGAATAAGTAACTAAGTTATTACGTAGATGTCTGTATAACGACTTAAAAAAACATTGATAAAAATTACAGTTCACCAACTGTCGTTCATCCAAATGATGATATGCGTAGCGTCTCGAGCACTACTACACTAGCCGGCCTGATGTGCCCTGGTTTTAGGCGAAAGAGCTCGTCGGTGCTCGATAAAGAAGATAAAACGTAGTTGACATATTATTAAATTCTTCTTTACTTTCGCTCACAAGTTCTTATAAATGTTAAGGTAAATGTAGCCGTTAATAATAATAAAAATTCATATTAAGGTTATTCTATACCTTTAAAAAGCTATTCCAATCAAACAATGCATGAATGGATGTTCAAGAGACATTGATATAAACCCCTGTATAACGTAAAGTATAAGGAATGCCACTAAATCGTTAGCATTTGGCGTCTTGCGAATATTACCTCTTTTAAAATAGAAACAACTCTTAATTCTGTACTTAGCAATTGTGCGTTTAAAATAAAGGGTGTAAACACTTGAACTTACAGAAAAATACACTAGTTTATTACGGGAAGTATGAATAAACCCTGTTGGTAACATCTACTTGCTAACTGCGAATGTGGAACCTGTAGGATCAGTGGCACCAGAGCGTCCACTGCTGTTTTCCATCTCACCCAAGCAGTCACACAATAAAACTAACAATACCCCCCCCCCCATTTGTCAGTGGGAAAGATAGAACCAGGGAAACTGGTGGCCACCCGCAATCAGTCTTAACATAATGGTTTGTTTTCATTCAAGTTTACTTGTCTCATATCTTTCTAACTCTTGAGCAAATTGCGATTCTGCGCAGGAGCTACTTCCAAGCCTGCACGATAGCCTCTTAAATGTTATCGCCACAGCAACGCATCAGTTATTGAACGTTGGTTTAAAATATTTTACACAACTTTATATACGATGAATAAGATATCCCAACAGATGCTGACCATATCTTTAGAAAATATTGGTTAATTTGAGTTGAGCAAGCAAGCACAAAAAGATGAAGTTGAAAGTTATTCTAGACTGACTTACTTAGTATAATTGATGCTACTAACACACTATCGCAAGATTACCTAATTACTTTTAAGTTATGGAAAATACAGCATGCCCACATGTGATTAAAAGGTTACTTCACAGGGAAATGGTTGGTGTTGTTTTATTTAACTGGCCACTGGCCAGCTATCAGCTAAACATGTTGGGCCGACGAAAATGTTTTTTTTAATGTTATATAATGGATAGTTCTGTTAAATGTTTCTACGAGACTAGTACTAAAAGCCTACAAACCCGTTTTTTTTGGAGGGGGGTCAATCAAATCCTTTTCCCTCCCATTACAGCTAGGTTAAGAATGCCTTGAATAAATGAGTACTTTTTTCCTCCTCACATGGATTACTACATTCAGGAGGGTATAATGGAAAGATAAATATAAATAAGGCTTATGGATTTTCGGTGTTTATTTTTAGCTGTTTTATAACTTTATTTAAATATCTTAAAATCGGTGTTGTTTTTTCGGGGGTGTTCATGTTTAGTTTTATGTAGATACCTTAAAAATCGAAGTTTCCCATTTAATACTGTAATGAGTATACTAATACACCATATATTCTCTACACATTAATCAGTATATTAATATACCATATATTCTCTGCACACTAATTTCTCTTATGGCAACATTAACAAGTACAAAACATATTACAAGCTTCCCGCTAACGGACGAACGTGTGTGGAAGGGGTAAAATTTTGCAAGCACACTGACTCGGGAAGGTGTGGACTTAATGTAAACTGAATAAACAGTTTGTTTTTCTTTCTCTCTCTCTCTCTCTCTCCCTTTGTGAAATAATTTGCCAATAACAAACTAAAATTGAAATGGAAGTCAATCGTAACGTGAAGACAACGACATTGTGTCTTCGTGTACCATACTCGTTTTATTAAATATTTTGACTAAGTAAAAGACAGATAAGGTTATTCTGAATGTTTTGTTTGTATTTAAGCACAAAGCTGCAGAATTGGCTATCTGTGCTCTGCCCACCACGGATATCGAAAACCAGTTTCTAGGGTAGTATGTCCGCAGATATCCCGCTGAGCCATTGGGGGGTGGGTTATTCTGAATGGAAAAGCCAATATGCAATCCGAATTCCTTGGACAAAGGCCTTTCTAACGATATGAGATTTGTAGTGTTTGATTGAGAAAACATTTGAGAGAAAAGTTCCGAACAGATAAACGCAAGCGCATTATTGATATAGATAATTTTGATCGGTTTACCCATTTGTAAAAAATGCTGTTTACAACACTTGTAATTTATATTTGTCAACAAAATAAGGTCATTTGTGTGTATAATGCTTCTCTGGCCTGTTAAAGGTGTTCTTTCCCCTCTTAACCATTATCAAATATTTCTTTTCAATAATACGAGTTATACCCCCTCTTAGCCATTATCAACTATTTCTTTTTCAATAATACGAGTTATACCCCCCTCTTAGCCATTATCAACTATTTCTTTTCAATAATACGAGTTATACCACCTCTTAACCATTATCAACTATTTCTTTTCAATAATACGAGTTATACCCCTATTAGCCACTATCAACTATTTTTTTTTCAATAATACGAGTTATACCCCCCTCTTAGCCATTATCAACTATTTATTTTCAATAATACGAGTTATACCACCTCTTACCCATTATCAACTATTTCTTTTCAATAATACGAGTTATACCACTTCGCCCAACAATATTAAATCAAATAAGGCTTAACCAACGTTTTAACCCTAGAATTACAGATGGAACTCTGCCTGCTTTTTGAAACATTTGCCACGTTGGTGCACAACTTTCTTGTTTATAAGGTCCCTAATAAGATAATTTTAGTATTGTGAGTTCATAAACCTACCACTGACTCGTTATGGGACCCCTGAGGCCAGTGATAGAAAGTTATCGATTCAGTGCATGACAAGAAGTTTTACTTGTAACTCACAAATGATCTCATTTCCTATATAAAATACATAGGAGATTCTAGCAGTTAATTAGAGGGATTAACTGCACTATTGATAGTATTTTTGTTTATATCTTTCGTGTGGCTTACCCTGCTTCGATTTCCATGCGGAGGTCAGAGCGCAGATATCCATCCCATCATGTATCTTTTCGCTAAAACCACACACGTAAATAATAACAGCCCTTAGAGGTTTTAGTGATTGCTCTCACTCCCGACCTGAGCATATACGTGGTGTTCTTATCCTTCCATCTTTTCGTGTCACTGTGGGAGGTACTTTCTCTGGCCTACTTCCTCTGACTAGGTCGGGCATAGTTGATCACACAACTAGAGAATATTTCAAGAGACAGAACAGGCCACTCGACTAAAGATTACTTACTGCTCGTGCACTAGCCCACGTACTTCATTTTTACAAGGAACATCCTTGCACGAGCGCATGTTGATAAGGGACGATATTAACAAATTATCAGATGCCGGTTGAAACAATTCAAACGTAATTTTCCCAAAAATAGTGATGAATAAATGCAAAATGTACAGTCAACCCAATAACTTGGATCAGAGCATATATATGTATATTCAATATGGTTGTCTAGAGAGCCGTTTACAGCTGTATATTGTCTTTCCATGTGTTATTTCAATAAAGAAAATTGAATTGCGTTTGTTTTTAAGCAAAGAAAACTGACGGTAATGTTTTGTTGGCAAAAATGTTTGAATTTAGATTCAATGAGTGCATCCAGAACAATAAATCGTTCAGGTTCGCTAAGTAGCCTCGGAAATTGTTTCAGCTAGATGCCACCGTTTTTTGTCATTTAACTGAGCGCAAGAAAAGACCGCTACCGAAGTGAGCGCTTTTTGACAGCTGTCATTTCTATAAGTGTCAAAGGGGAAAATATTCAATGCATATCAATTTATTCGACATGGTACAATAAAATCATACATTTATATCATACCAACATGAAAGAAACATATATATATATAATGAACAACAACAAATATATAGTCAAACAAACACGTTCCTCCTATATGAGTTTTTTTTTTTTTCGTTCATGCTCCCATCTTCTAAATATTTCCTTCAATCAATCGATGGAGGAAGTTCCAGAAGCTTTTTTTTGTGAACTTCCCTCACAAAAAGAAACATTTTTGTCCTTCAGTTTTTATTAGTTTTTTTCTCAGATTGATCGTTCAAGACATATATGGTTGTATTATATTCTCATACGTACCTGCGTTACTGTCGTTCAGTTTAAATAAGATCAGTCTTTTAAGCGAATTATTTGCAATTTTTCAAGTTAATTTGTATCGTGCAAGTCAATTAGTCATAAGAAAGCATTCTAATTTTCACTTATAGAGAATACAGGTCACGTAATTTCATGTCTACAAGTACACTAAAGCGTGCCGTTTATGGCTGCCATGTATAATAAATATTAATTTCGTTTCTGAGACTAAATTGTAATATATTCGATGGGACTGCATACGACCATAGGTTTATTTGAGCGTAAAGCTAAACAAATGGGCTATTTGCACTCTGTTCACCGCAGAAAATCGAACCCCGAATTTTAACGTTCGTGTGTCGGAAACTTACCACTGGGGGTCACGGTCATGGAGAAATAAATCAAGATAGGATAATGACGCTGGGCCAAATTTTTCTACAAAATATAAAAATTGTACAAAACTACCGATACTGACAAAAAAAAAAGTAATGGTAAATTTTTGAGGCCACTTCATTTACCGTATAAAATTGTGTCAATGAAAAACTAATTCAAAGTCTTCCTGTGTATTTAATTAAAATACTTGTGTATTAGAGACACTTTCCAAGTTTGAAAAAAAAAAGATCGGAGTTGAAGGTAAATTATAATATAAAATACATCACTGGGCTAACTGTTGTTAACGTTCTACCAATCTTGGTCAAAATAGATGAATCATTTTTAAGCTACAGCAGACACAAAGAAACCCGACTACATGAATTATCTCCAATTTGCCCTCGAGGGTCTTGGGAAAAAAGAACAACTCAACCATAAAACATGTCACATGTCAAAAACACACCTTGATGCTTGAAATCTAAACATGGACGTTCAACACATTAACATACAGTGGCTTGAGTGACGTCATTAGTTATAAATAAAACCTCCAAGTTGTGAAACTGCTGAGGCCAGATTGAGTCAAAGCATACATTTAACAAATCTTTGTAGTATAAAATAAAGATGTGTTACTCTTTATACGAAAATATGTTTACATGTTAAACGTCACGTCACATTTTTACGTGGTATAGTAAATATGAGTGTATTCGTTCAGTTTTGATACATAAGTAAAACGTTATATATTTTACATACATAATGATTAAATTACGATGTATAGTTGGATAGGTAGATAAACTGATAGACAGATAGTTAGTATTAAAGGTACAATTTTTTACTAACAGAATCCACGTTAAGGAACTCTTGATTTTTATGTTGCATTTCGGCATATATGAAGTTCGTGAGAACTTTTAAATTTTTAAGTAATTTTAACTGAACTTACATTTTTCGAATCTTTAGAGGGCCAGCGCAGACGAGCACGTGGGATGGGTGTGATGTCATGGAATTCACTGATAAAGTCCGGAGAAGGTGGTCTACATGTGCAGCACTGGTCACTCAGCATCCGATGACCTTCAAACCAAGGAATAAACAACAGGTCGGAAGCACAAGTACACATGGCAACAAGACCTGAGACCAATGAACGTGCAATACAATGTCAGCAATTCATTGCTGAGGCTTTTTACCTATACTTGAACTCTTTCTGCTCACGACTTCTATATTTCTGACGTGCATTGTATCCGAACAAATCTTCAGAAATTTCCTTCTTTTTAAAAAAAAATGACCTAGTTCATAAAAACAGGTTTATAGCAACCAACGTTTGCCAAAAGATAAAAACATATATGTTGATTGTTGTTGAACTTTAGAATCTCTCTTAAACGATTTGACAACTCACCGACCTTCGTTTTTTACTTGTGCTACCGAGGCCCTGGGTACGTTTGGATCGCACATGCAAACTACCATCATACGCAGTTACTGCAGGAGTCATCGCGATTCTTAATTTTCTGATTAAACTCTACTTGAACTATACCAACTTATAACGTGATCTGTTTAAACAACTGAGACACCGAATACAAAGTGGTAACGCGGATTTTGAATAAATCTCCACCTATACCTGGTTACGTGCTAAGCTTTTTACTGACACACATACGACTCGTAGAATGTTAAACCTGATCCAGAGTCAACACATGCGTGAGCAATACGATCTGACGACGCATGCACGAACTACTTCAAACTGTGCCGGCTGTGAGTCACACACTGTTTGGAAAGCTGGGCTATGATTCGCCGAAAGACACCTGATCACAGAAGTACGAGGGAAAGCCGACCCAGGTAGCAACTGTTGTAACGGTTTTATCGAAGATATAAACAGCTACCGAACAAAAAGTCAAATGATGAAAACAGTTTGTCTGCCAAGTTTTACAGTGGTATGAAGGATAACCTTTTCCTGCAATATTTGTTTTTCAGAGCGTTTAAAACCCAATCTTTCTTATGTTCAGTTTACTTTTGTCGACGAAAATTTTATTTTATTTGGATCTTTCTGTTTTAATTATGAGTATGTTCTGGAGAATTCTGAATGTGAATACCAGCAAAATACGGACTTAAAACAGTTATATATTTTGATATTCATACGGTTACATTTCAAAAATTGATATATATATTATTTTATCTGTTTACTCTAAGTAACCTGTATGCCTACCTGTTTAACAATAAAAATTTGTATATTTATACTTACACTTATATAATCGTTCATCTATCTAATGTATATCTACATGAATATAGATGGTTAGTGGCTGGTAGTTCTTTTATTATCGATAGATAGTGGCTGGTTGGTCTTTCGTTATATATGAATAGTGGCTGGTAGGTCTTTTAATACAGATGTATAGTGGCTGGTTGGTCTTTCGTTATATATGAATAGTGGCTGGTAGGTCTTTTAATACAGATG